GTGAATCTTACTATCAAGTTACACTTTATCATTTTATTCAAATTATTTTAAATATGAAAATACAATTAGCCTTTATAAATAATAATTAAAACAGGCGGCAAAGCCGCCCGCATTCGCAATCTCTAGTTATTAATAAAAATTAATCCAAAATTTTAATAAAAGTTATTAAAAAAACCGGTTCTATTACAGTGTAGAGCTAGTCTAGAACTACAGTTTAAAAAAAAAAAACATACAATTTTGTTTGTTGGTTGAGTAGAAAAATGTACCTAAATTAGTACAAATTTATATGTGAAATAACCCCAAAATTAATGATCATCATATATGACCCTAACTAAGTTTTGATCAATTAGTTTATTGAACACCCTAAAGCAAGATCCATAAAGAATTAGTATGTCTGGGGTAGATTAGTGATTGCCTAATTCTTTAACAAATAGCAAGGGAATTTTAGAGCCTTTTTAAATAGTACTACAGTCGACCCTCTCAAAACCGATCCTGTCAAAACCGATAACCTGTCAAAACCGATAAAAAATTATCATTCCAGTTATATAAAACTGCTTTCAAAACCGATAACCTCTCAAACCTGATACAAAACCTGTCCCACCATGCATACCGATTCTGAGAGGGTGGACTGTAGTATATTCAGCTAAGTAATTTTTAAAATTTTGCTCTAAATAATATGCTAGCCAAAAGATGTTAACTTTTGCTTTAAATAATACTACCTACAGCTAAGCTTTTCACCTACTGTTCCACCAAAAGAATTTTAAAGCCTTTTGTCTAAAATAATACTAGCATAGCAGCCAACAGTTTTATAAAATTTACCGCCCTTAATGGTACTATTGCATTACTTACAGAATTTTAGTTAGCAAAAAGAATTTTAAAATTTTCACGAAAAGTATTTGTATTAGCAAAAAGAAAAACCTTTCTCAAATTATGCTATCAAGCCAAGTAGAGTGTGTGGCATAGCAAAAAAATTTGGCATGCCATAAGGTATGCCACCTGATAAATTTCATGCCAGGATGCATTCTGGTATGCCAATGGTATGCTATCATATCAATCTGTCCAATGTCCTAGACTATTCACAAATCCCAAAATTTTTCAGCAACCTTACTCGTATTTTATGTTCATCAACTATTTATTATTCCAAAATTTTCTGAAAAATAACATATGCATATATGATTTTATATAAATGCATGCCTTATATCTATTTTCATTTATGGCATGCCCTATAGCATGCTACCCTTGGCATGCCAGGGTGGACAGATTTTGTATTAGTTTTGAGAGGTTATCATATTTGAAAGCATTATAAACTATTAGATTTATATAACAGAAACGGACTTGGTAGACTCTGATTTGACTTACTGTGGAACGATTGGTTAGACATAGTATAGACTATATCCAACCAACCGTTTAGATGCATCATTATTTGATACGTGAATATCTCAAGATCTTGTGATTGGGTTTGGATGATTTTGGGCTAGTTATAATCATCTCATTATGAAGAACATTTATAATAAAATTATTTAAAGTAGACTAATAGGTTAAAAGTTATTATTATAAAATAATTAAGTTTTACTATACGTAGCTCATAGTAGAAGTAACAATAATTCCTATGCGAATTAACTCGACCTTACCTACATACTATGTCATACTATGTCTCACTGGAATAGCGGATTCTTTGAAAAATATTTCCAGCAACTTATAAGATTACGATCAAACTAACTCATACAGCTTTTGATTATTTGAATGGAAGTGAGTATTGTAATAGAATTTCTTGCAGTAATTCATAAAATACAATAATTCTAATAGCAAGTTTTACTTTAGCCCATGGTAGAAGTCATGATAATTCTGATACAAACTAACTTGACCTTAACTATATATTATGTCTGACTAGAATAACAAATCCTGTAACAAATAAGATTTTTTACAGAAATTGTAGAAGTAACCACCATGAATTGTATTTTGTTAGTTTTTTGTATTATGTATAGTGGTGTGTGCTCAATTCCATAATTGGTCATAATTTTTTTTTTTACAAAAACTCAATTATATCGTGATCCAATAATCAAATTGGATGAATTTGACATTATTCGAGTCGTCACGATGAGGCGAATCGAATACATACCACCAAAATCATCTAATTCGAATTACTGGATTGCAAGGTATTTGCAAAAAAATGATTCAATTAATTATGGCAAACATGCCGTAATTCTGTTGTAATTTATTAAATGTTTTTCGAGAACAGTGATTTTAATTGAATGATTTGGGTACCATTTGATTCGTCTCATTGAGACGACTCGAATAATATCAAATTCATCCAATTTGGATTATTGGATCATGGGTATAATCGAGTTTTAGTAAAAACATTACGGCCAATTACGGCATTGCGCTCACACCACTAATCATGTAAACATGCGAGAATCTATACAGTAGCGTAAAAAAGGTTAATAATCAGATTATTAAATTTGAGATATTTAACCAATTACAATAACAGATAAAGTATCTTGGTTTTAAAGTTTATATTACAATATATCGAAATTATTAAAATGGTGCTAGTCGTCTATACCATACTGATCTTTTGTAATCTTATTTATTAAGAGATTATCTGATAATAACATATTATTGTAACATATTATTATGAATTTTTTTTTAATATATTAAGGCCAATTGGACTTATAAAGTCCAATTCATTTATTAGACTTTTGGTCTTATGTCCAGTTGGACATGTTCAATAACAACATTGACTACAAAATCAGTATTAAGTAAATTGTACAAATAAATAAACTTACTAAAATAAGTGCTAATTTATAAAAAAAAATGTGATAAATTTTTGATTGCCATCTCGTGCAAATTATGACAATAAATCAAATAATTCGTTTTCTCTCTACTAGATTTATATTTAACCTAGTCATAAGTACAATATTACATGTCTTAAAGATTTTGACTTCATTTAGTATCTCTATCCTTTTCGCCGTTATTCCACATCAGGGAGAGCTACTATTGTCAATATCATCTGCTTTAATAGAATTTAATAATGAGATATCGATAATATTTTCATAAAATTGAACTCTCTTTTTTAAATTATCAAGTTGTTTTTTTATTGAGGAAATCTCATATTCTTTGGTGTTAGATTTATCTTCAATATCAGGTTCATCAGATTGTAGATCCGCAAATGGTAAGAGTTTTTTCTTATATTTATTTTTGAATAGTCTCGATTTTTGTACAATGCCCCATGGATAAATTAAACCAAGACCTAATAATTTGTGTTAAAAAAGAAGTAATTATTCAACAATAACTTGATTTAAAAGGTAGACTTACCAAATAAATATATATAAAAAGCTGCCATGAAACTCCAAATACCGCCAATAATACCCAATATACTTAAAATCTACTTAAAAGAATAATAATAAATATATATTTTTTTGTTGTAAAGGTTAATGCATAATATGTCTACTTACGGATTTGCTCCTATTATTATTATTTGTAAAACTGTTAATAAGCGTTGATAAAACATTGGCATAATGATTTATTTAAGATTATTCATCTTTGTTCTCTTTCTTCCGTTACATAAACGTTAGAATCAGGACTAAATTGTAATCCTGCATAAAGAATTCCTTTCGTAGACTCTGTAGTTATTAACCAACAGATATTTAGAAACTAAAGTGAGTGAATAATAAACAATTTTTAATGAAATATTCTCACTATTAGATGAAAAGGTCGTATTGCTAAATAAATATATATAAGACTTTGTATAGTATAACATTAGTTGATATACATACGTCATTAGAAGTAATGTTAAAAAAATCTGCAATCAGAAATCAGAAATCATCGATTTCTTTTTTTTTTTTTGATCTGCAAATTTCACATTTTTTTGCAAACCGCAATAAATGATTGAGGGATTGAGCGATTGACCATTGCGATTGAACGATTGGGTAAATAAGTCATTAAGTAATTGAACGATTGACCATTAGGAGGTAATTGAATGATTGACCATTAGGAGGTAATGGAGTGATTGAGCGATTGACCATTAGGAGGAGGTAATTGAGTGATTGGGCGATTGAACAATTGAATGATTGGGTAATTGAGTGATTAAACAATTGGGCAATTTTGCAATTTGTAATTAAGCGATTAAAACTGCATGTAATATAAGTAAATATTTACAAATAAAAATAAAAGTATTATTTTTTTATATACTAGTAAATAAATATTTATAAAATTAAAAATATATATATAAGTAGAACTTTTTTGATTCAAAATTTATTGTAATTAAATTTATTTAAATAATCAAAATTATAATTACAGCATTTAAGTTTTATAATTGAATAAATTTATTAATATACTTGTTTACAAAAACTATTAAAAAAAAATCTTAACCCAGTAGCATTACAAGCCATAATCATAAACTCTCTAATTAGATGGAAAACATTAATTATGTTGAGGGTTATTCTGATCCGTATTCCTGATAGTAAATTTGCAACCAAAATAGAAAACTTTCCTATTCTTAACTTTGATGTTGATACATATCAAGATGTTAAAAATAAAATTTTGTAGCAAAATAGTAAAAACGAAAATGAAGATTATGATCTGAATAATGCAATGGAAGAAATTACATCATCTGAGTTTGATGAAGAGGTTGAAGAAATTATATTAGATCAAACTGTAAAAAACAATAAATACACACCATATGTTATTATAGATAATGACAATATACAATGATGTAACAGAATTGATAAAGGAAATTTTAACCAACCTTTAGCTCAACTCAAAGGCACTTGGAAAGTTGACCATGATACTATTAAGCAATAAAATGAAAAGCTAGATAAATTTGATATCTGTTATTGGTATTTTCTTTTTGATCAAAATCAACTGTATTATAAAAATATTCAACTATTAAAAACAGTCCAAAGTAGTGTTTGCATGTCTAGTTCAAGTCTAATAGAGTTTAAGTTTGAGTTTAATCAAACCTGAACTCAAACTCTAAATTTTGCAAATTTTCAAACTCAAACTGGAACCAAACTTTATTATTCAAACTTAAACCAGACTTAAACACAACTAATAGTTTGGTTCAAATTCAGTTTGAAAGTTTGCAAACTAGTTCAGGTTTGATAGAAATGTGATCTGTTATCTATTTTCCTATTTAAAGCTAAGGATTTTTTATAATAATTTTGTTATAAAATCAAATTAGAGGATATTCCGGATCACATCTCTAACTCTAAACAAATATTCAATTCTGTCTATTATTATTAGAACTAGTAATAGCATATACATATATTTTGAGAATCATATATATAATTTTATAAATATATTTTAATATACTTTATACTGTAAGTTTATCTAGCCAATCTTTTCTTCATATTCAAAATAAGGTACAACTTACATATTTAATTTATTTCGAAACATCAATTTATTTTAATATTAAAAATATGTGTTTTCATAGCTATAAAATAAATATAATCCTCATAAATGTATAAAAAATCAGGTCATAAATTCGAATATTTTATGGTATTTGCTGGTTTTATTATAATAACCAATCCATATAGCTGATTGTTTTTAAAATAAGTATTTAAAAATTATAGAAGATCTGGATAGTTAGATAGCCAGATAATATGGTAAGAAGGTGTATAATTTATATATAAAATGAATTAACATCTACATTAATTGATTTGCATATTATTTGAATATGCTCATGTATGTTATTTCAAAGTAAGAGAAGTTTTTCTAAATTCAAAATAGTTGACCTTTAATAAATACATGATGTTTGATAAAGGTGCATTTATAAAATATTAATTATGGAAAATAATCTAATATAATATTAAATAATTATATAAATTATATGCACTTATTATTATAAGGAAGTGCATATTAAATTATCATTTAGCTAAAATATTAATTGTAACAATAAAATTAAATTACTTTATTTTAGTTCTTAGGGGGCTGACAAATATTAGCTCATTATACCCCCCCTGGAATTTTTACTTAGTCTCACTCTGAGTCAGTAATTTGACACAGTAAAACTTATAAAAAATGCATAATTAGGTTTTTGACAGTTAACAATGTAAACTGTCAAAAACCTAATTATGCATTTTTTGTAAGTTTTACTGTGTCAAATTACTGACTCAGAGTGGGACTAAGTAAAAATTCCAGTGAGGGTATAATGAGCTAATATTTGTTAACCCTCTTATTATTGTTATTTTTTTTTTATTTTTTTTTATTTTGCCAATATAGAAACTTTATTAGTCATGATAAACGCCTTTTTACAGAACAATTAATGTACAGTTTCTAATTACATTTGTGCTACTATTACTAGTCACCCAAT